TTAATGACAGAATTTTAATTTTTGGGTGAACTATCCCTTTAAATCATATCTATATGATGTTTTAATCATATAAGATTTAAAATAATAATTCATTTAAAATAACTAATTATTTAATCGCATTCTATACATTACTATGTGAAAGGTACTGACATGATTTCTTTTGTTTTTGTATTTATAGAGGTCAAATCCGGACTGCAAAAGGAATCTTCTGTTTATCACTCTCATAAATCTAATACAACAACATTGGAGAAACATCTCTAAGGAGATTTGAAGAGCTAGAGATTCATTTTTAAATCAGTATGAGTTTTATATTTATTTTCCAAGACACTGAATTATGAAGCATTTGTGATTAAAAAGTGTTATTTTCAAGATAAGTGCTCATCTTGTATATTGCTGCCCCCTATACATTAGATGTCAGTTATTGGCCATCAGCCATGATGGAGTGATTCATCTCATCCCTGCAACAAAAGATTAGAGACCAAAATATCAAAGACCAACAGCATTCTTAAAGATGTCTGTAAATATTTGCAGGTTTTCCTTTTGGACCAACTAGTGTTTTATGTTAAAAGGTACTGAGTGAAGAGCTGGATGTGCCCAGTTTTTCCTCGGTGAAGGACAGTGAAACGTTTTTGTCTTTCTCTGCTAGTAAGCCAAATTTTAGGTACATGCATAACATAAATGACGGGATGAAATGTGAATTATTATTTTCATCTAGTTTGTGGAGAGGAGATGCAAACCTAAAAAAAAAGGTCTATAGCCATAAAAGACGTTTACAAAAAAAAAATCGTATTTATTTCTAATCCCTAACCAGACAGATTAAGAAAACAACTTGCACAAGGATGTCGTTAATTTGTTATGTCTGAGTTGGAAACTAATGTGAAATGAGATCTATTTATTGCTCACAGCATAACACATAGTACATCCATCTTTGACTGGGTGTGTCCATCTTTTTCCTCACAAAAGCCATATGTAATTAAAGGAATAGTTCACCTAAAAAAGAACATTTTTAAAATTAAACAAACAAATTAAAATGTACTCA